GTAAATATATTATATTTTCTTTGATTGACTAACTTATCTAAAACTTATCAAAAATAACTTTTCCTCGAGCCAAAAGTACATGACTTAACATGATCTATCCAACAAGTTCAATATTGATATACTAAATCTCGTTCTATCAATATCTAATTATTTGGTCCAAATAAAATAGGAATTTAAAACCTATTTCATTTTAATCCCCAACTTTTCAAAATATAACAATATATATAACATATAAAATAAATAAAGTTTATTCTAAAATTTTCGGGTGTCATAAAATGTGATGTTGTTTCCTCAATATTATATCTTTTGGTTTATAATTAGGAACTTCGAATATGTAAATCATGATAATAAAAGATGATTGTTATTTATGCTTTGCTTTGTCAAAAACCTCAAATGCACCCAACTTGTAATCGTAATCTTATAGGTTGTTTTACTGGTTTAGTATGTGTGTTCAAACCAAGGAGACCAAGAATAACAAATTAGTCTGGTATCATCTATATATAAAGATATTTGCATATTTGGTGATTTACAAAGCAGTTCTTTGCAATTTGGAGATATTACTGGTCAAAGTTGTTGGGGTTCAACAAGGCCACTCTTGAGCCCATGGGTTGAGTCACTTTGATGCTAGTGACTGAATGCCATAAAAATTTTAGCGTAACTTTCACTAGACACTATAGCCATTTTGGAAGCTTGAATGTGAACTTCAAAGTTAGGAATGTTGCAATTTGATGATCCTTTTAGAGATGGTTTTGGAAGAGAGCCATTTGTAACTTGTAAGTATATGAACAAGCTTGGACTGAGAATATGATTTAATAACATTGGACTGAGAATATGATTTAATAACATTTAATTTCAACAGATTTAAATTTTTGGTGGTCAAACTATTTTTCCCAGCTTGTTGATCATTCCTCTTCATATTACAAATACTAGTGCAAAAATTTATGCTAGAACCCTTTTTCATAAGTTGACCAACACTTGGTACGTTGCTTTCCGAACATGGATCTCATAAACTAGTGACATCTCTCAAATTTACCCCACTTGATTTTGAATGCTATATCTCCAATACCCTGAATTTTATAGGATTGCGCATGTCCAATGACCACTTACACATAATCAACTTCAACAAGATTTGAAAAGAATTCTTCTTCAAAGTCATGTTTTCTAGAACTGCAATTCAAAACCATGTATCTCCCATGTTTCCATTGGAAGCAATCAATGATGTTTCTTGAATGTTTTCAATATCACTTTCATGGACAACTCCTGTTTCATTTTTATTTTCATCTTGTCTATACCAACATCCATCTGTACGGAAAATTAAGACGACAATCTTCCCATTGTTCAAGGGTTGCTAAAACAGGATATGATCACCTGGACTCTGAATACAAAAGACAGTCAATTGCCTTAGTAAACTTATCAAATTAAACTCGTTAGGACTGTTTGAGCCTATACAAAGGCTTTTTCAGCTTGCAGACCTTTCTGCCAAAGGCATCAACAAAGCCAGGTAGCAACTCCATATAGACTTCATCTTCTAAGTTTCCATAAGGTAAAACGTTCTTTACATTTAACCACTCAAGATGCTGGTCCAAGTTTGTAGACTCTAATCGAGTTCATTTTTGCTATTGGGGAAATACCTCTTAGTAGTCAATCACATGAGTGTGTGTGAATGCTTTTGCCACGAGTCTTATCCTATGTTTTATGTTCATGCAGGATGGAAAATCAAACTGTTTTAAAGGTTTTATTCTCATTCTATGCTATCTAATCATTGCTGCAAGTTTCTTTGTACACTCTAAATAATGAAACGGTGAGCATTTGTGCTTTCTATAGTGTACTATATTTCCGTTTGTGGACTTTTACATTACTTTGCATGATTGCTATCCTTGGGTGCATAAATTTATAATTGACTGCACCTGGTGCTTTTGAGATAGCTGCATTGAAAGCATGGCCTAGAGTTTTAACTGTGTTTATGCGTGTTAGTGGGAGGGAGTTCGTTATACACTCCTCTCTTTCAACTTCTATTAATGAGATTATATTACTCTTATGAATGAAAGCCTTCTGGACACACGCGCACACACAAACAGACTTCATGGGTGGGTTACTTACTTATAATTCAGAAGAATAAAGCATAAAACGCGATGTTTGAAGGGGGAACAAAGATTGCATGGAAGGTGGGGATGGGAAACATCTTTTGTAGGTACGACTGTTGGATGCGTGATAAACCACTTGCATCATTGTTACCAGAAGAACTACTTACATCTTGCCAACTACTGCAAGTCTTAATTCAAGATAACTGGAATGTTAACGTGTTGTGACAACTCCTGCCTGAATTTTTGGTTCATGTGTCCGTTAATTCCAATTGATATTTTAAGAAACTAATTTATAGAAATTATGTAAAAATTCTCTGTTAAAAGACAATAAACTAGATCTTGCTAGGTAATTTAATACATGTAAATATTCTAATAATTGACATTAAGGTTGAAGTGAAATATCTTTGTCGTGACTTATAGCTTTGATCTTGAATCTTGATCTTCTTGATCGTTTTTAGTTCCTCAGATTTAGGAATTGACTATTTTAATTCTTTGCTGCTTAATGACCATCTTCTTTAGTATTCTCCAAAGAAAAGAAGATTGCAGTGATTTGTGGGCATCAAAACTGAAGTCCTAAAACTGAAACCCTAATTCTAATTTTTGTAAAACATCTTAAAACAAGATCTAAATCTCTCTGAGCGTGTACTGGGCAGTATTGGATACTGTCCAGTTCAAACCACCTAGGTCTTACATAGACCTAGGTCCACTTTGTTCTGGTCAATGTTTTGAAAATCTACCCAGCCATAGACCTGAAAAAGCTGAAGGGTCAAGGGCCAAAAGATTAAACTGGAGTCGAACTGCTAAAAATAAATAAAATAATAAGTATATAAATATCAAAAAATTCGAAAAAAATAAGGCCAAAAGATTAAACTGGAGTCGAACTGCTAAAAATAAATAAAATAATAAGTATATAAATATCAAAAAATTCGAAAAAAATATGTTATTTTTTTAAAATGACTTATATATAGAGATAAAAATCAATATATAAACTTAATTGCAATTAATTTTTATACGATCCACCTCTAATATCAATAGAAAAAAGATCAATAAATATAGAGAAAAGAATTAATAATTGAGTCAATTAAATATTTTTATGGCATTTTAGTTTGTTTTTATTATTATACTAAAAGAATTAGAAAATAAAGAAATTTTGGCGGGAAAAAAAGTAATCAAATTTAAAAAGGTTGAGTTGGGGGGTGGGGGAGAAACTAGTCTATTCCACCTTTCAATCCCACAACGATTTCTTAGCAAAAAGTTACTATAGAAAGAGGTTATAGAAAGGGATTGTCACTATTGACATAGTTGACACTATTTGGGCCTCAAGATTGAGCCTAAAAAAAAAATTTTATTTTAGAATTTTGATAGGAAAATAAAAAAGTTAAAAATCGGTAGAACCGATTATGGGTTCACCTGTTTTCTGGTTAGACCAGTTAGTTGGCCGGTTTGTAATCGGTTTTTAAATATATGGTTTTTGGGTATCAACTGAACCTATTTTTGTACCGGTTCACGGTTTTTCTGGTCCGACCAGCCAGTCCGATTTGGTTTTGAAAACATTGGTTCCAGTTATATGTTTTAAAATTTCTAGGAACTTCAATTTCAACTTCTTATCAACTTAGAACTTTATTTATGACTTGGTCAAACAAATGATTTTGTAAATAGTTTGTTCTGGTCAACTATGCCACTTTCAATGACTAGTGCAGTTAAGTAATCTATTTTTGGAACTACCAGAGATCTCTTATCGGACCAATATAATCAAACGCCAACAACTAGACAGAGTCAAATTAACCCCAAACCATGCGTGTATGAAGCTTAAGTAACCTATTTTTGGATCTACCAGAGATCTCTTATCGGACCAATATAATCAAACGCCAACAACTAGACAGAGTCAAATTGACCCCAAACCATGCATGTATGAAGCTGGAATGCTATTGATCAACAATCAGACATACAGTGATAAATTTGATCCCAAGCCTTTTAAACATCGCCCATCATACTACGGGAGTTGTCTATGCCTGCACGGATCACCTTAATTTCAAGGATGGGGATGTCGAAGGTAGGGATTTGACTGGAGTGAGTTGTAACACTGTAATCGTACTTGAAAGTGAGGCTGGAATAAATCCTTTTCAGGGGAATAATGCTTGTTGGGTATTTTGGTATGACATTGCTTTACACCAAAAATAAAAATAAGGGAGCTACATCAGAGTTAAACTTAGAGATGAAAGTTTTCTTTCATTTATCAACTTTATAAAGGGATGTAATTGATATTTAGCCAGTTATGGATAAACAAACCAACCTTTCGTCATTAGTGTTGGTATCAAAACTAAAATCCTAAAACCAAAATTCTTGTTCTATACATAATATTTTTGGAAAAAAAAAAATTGGGGAAAGAAAAAAGGAAAAAAAAAAATCTCTAATAGTATTGGATATTGCCCAGTTGGAATCTAGGTCCATTTTTGTTCCCATTCTATTCCATAATAGATTTCTAGAAACTTCAATTTCAAGTTCTAATCAACTTAGAACTTTATTCTTGATTTGGAAAAAAATAGTATTAACTTGGTAAAACAAATTTTGATTAGGTCAACTATGGAACTCTTGAAATTTGATTACTTGTACAAGTATTCATCTATTTTGGAGCTACCAAAGAGATCCAATTGGACCTATATAATTAAAGCTCCAAAGACACTGTCAAGTCCAGTAAAGGCTAAAGACTTGAAGGTGAAGACAGGAACAATTTCACTGTATTTTTCACATTAATAATGTTCAGTACATATATCCTATTTATAGTAGACGGAAGGAATAAAAGAAAGGAAATAAATCTCTAATGAACATACAATATTCTATCTATGGCAAATAAAATCTTCAGCAATCTCCCTGATTATATTCCAAATAAATTCGGGATTTCCTAGCCCCTTCACAATCACACCAGACCCTTCGATCCCCGATGCTGCAGACCTAAACACACTAGAATTAGCTAAGGTTGGCTATCAAATCTATAATAATAATAATCAAACAAATCACAAGAATTAATGCCAAAAATGAGGACGAGCTTACAGGATTTCATCATAATCCTATAAACTAAAAGTTTAGCCTAATGTGATTTGATTACAAAAATACAAAATATTTGATAAGAAAATAACCCAGATATGTTGAAAGAAAAGATGGGTACGGCGTTTAAATTTGAATCTCTACAATGGTCTTGGAATGTACAGAATTCCTCTTCAAGATCACTCGAGTCTTGAGAGAATTCTAGTATTGAGCTCCAATACTTTATGTATCTATGGTGTCCTCCAATGTGTTACGAGTCTTGAGATATATATAGGAGTCTCAAAAATCTCTAGAAAGGAATCCAAGATACCCTAATTTACAGTGGCTCCATGTGGTGCGTACACGCCAAGAGATGTTGCATTCATGCCATGCCTAATTGTCAAAAACATGAGGGTTTCCTTAAATTTCAGCCCATCTCTCTCTTATATGTAGCATATGGGGCGTACACATCAACTTTATAGCTTTCACGAGCTGATTTTGAATACACAACCACTCCAAATTTTGATCTATTTTCTGCATTGAACTCCATTCAATTATAATTTGAAGGGTATATCATTTAACTTGAGGAGGACTTTGTACCAAACTTGTGCTCCAACTTCGTCACATGCTCCACACTTAGGTTTCTCAATTTGCTTCTTTTGTCCTTTTAACTCCCAAAATCACTTTCTTTTGCGTCGATCATCCTTAATTGGGGTTTCTCCTACCAAATACAATTCAAAGTGAGTAAAATTCACTAAATTAATTCAAATCAAAATAGTTTTAGTCATAGGCGTGTACTGCGCACTTATTTGCACACACTGACATATAGACAATCGTTTTGTTTAGAGAAAATAGAGTGGAAAGAAAGAAAATAAAAAGGAGAAAAGCTTTTGGTTTGAGATTTCCTCGAGAGATTTAAGTTTCCCTTGTCTTTGTTTTTCAAAGAACGAAGATATGATACGTTTGTGTAATATTACAAGTTTCTTATGGTGATTCTAAATAGAAACATGGATACATAGTTTTAATGTTTAAAGCTCTAACACTATAGGTTGAGATTGACACCGTTTTGCCCTACAAGTTGAGATTGAGATTGGACTGGGGATTGTTGTACTAACGAACAATGTATTTAAGATATGATACAATTGAAAACGGTCTCGTTCCACTTCTCTTCTATGTGCATGTTGTGAAGTACCATTATTCTTATTTTATTTTGAAAGCTATTGTAAGCTTGTTGCAAACGAACTTACTGGGATTTCTCACCCCTTCCATTAACAAATTTCAGGCACTGATGCTTAGGTCGTGGATACAAGGATCGACATGGGGTGCTAGCTCGTGTGGAAAGAAAGTAAAACATTTTAAGATGCTTAGGTCGTGGATACAAGGATCTACATGGGGTGATAGCTCGTGTGGAAAGAAAGTAAAACATTTTAACGAGTAATTTAAATTTCAAGAAGAATTTTTTTAGATGTGAATCATATGATGTTTTAATTAGATAAAAATATGATCCACTTAATGGCATTAAGTGGTCATATCTAATCCCCTTATCACTTCAATCAGTGAATACTTAAAAGTAACACTACGAGCTGTTGGTTTCATAATATATTATGTTCAAATTCAGATTCTTTTAATGCTCCACATTACATGGTCTTTGGAACTATATAGTTTACGAAATAATATATATTGTTGGCACGTTAACTTAATCGTTAGGTACATAAACATCTATCGTTCGTGTTTTTAGGATGCAGGGGAGTAAATATGTGTTGTGAGTATAAACAAATATGGAAAACACAATTAAAGAAGAACAAAGCTTATTCAGCATATACTACTATTCATATGGGATGATCATATGAAACTCACAAAGTTGTATGACATTTCTACTTGTGTAATTTCCACTTAGCATGGTGTTGGGTACTAGGCACTTAACGTAACATTAAATTCTATAATTAAAACGATTCATAATGTGTCTACATCATAGATGATATGTGGTGGGACTTTTAAGTAAATATGTATAGTAAAGTCCAATTATTGACACTGTAATAATCCCAAAATAAGCAAAAATCAATGTGATATGACAAACTGCAGTTAAAAACCTGTTTGGGAGTGATTTTGAGAATTGATTTTTTTACCGTTAGGAGAAAAGTGGGGTCCACCTGTGAAAGAAGAAGTCAAATATGACGGCTGGAATAGTGAAATAACAGTCAAAAAATTAATTTTTTGAGTGAAAAAATCGGGCCCAAACATGCCCTAATAGTTTAGAAACACATTCTGATATGTTTAAGGCGTAAGCAACGAATTCATCTTCCAAGAACACATTAAGAAATTTTCATTCAAATAGGGAAAAATGTAACAATCAAACCTTGTTCTCGAAAAATTTGGGTTCGCTTTTGTGAATCCTTTTTCACCACATGTATTTAGATCTTTACTAAATCTACCAGAAGATAAATAGGAAATTTAAAAAAAAAAAAAAACTATGCAATTAATTATGAAAACAAAATTCAAAATTGTAGTAACTCGAAAATGAAGCGAAGAATCCAGAACAACATTCTCATGGAATTGATTAGTTGATAGCGTAAAATCTATAGTCCCCCAAAATTATAGTGATAGGAAAAAAAAATTGGATCGAGGATATGGAATTAAGGAACCTTGATATATGAAGACATTGATCCCTGTGATGACCATGGATTTTTTTTGGTTTCCAATTTTGTGGATTTCGTTTAAATAGAAGAAGACGATACAACCATGCGAGGATTTGGGGCAATAATTATGGATTTTGACTTAAGATGGCAATATAGCTTGTTTTGTGGATTGATAATAGCAAACTATGTAGTTTGAGGAGTTAAGTTATTTTTTCTATTTCGATTTTACTTTAAATATTGTAGTATTTACGATATAAAAAATGATGAAATGTAATATTTGAAATTTTATTAAAAATAGAGTATGTGGTGAAATTTCCTCTCAAAAATTGATTGGAAGCCCAAAATAATTATCCCTTATGAAATAGGGAAAAATTCATAATTAAGAGATTAACTATCACCTATTTCAAAACTAAGATTAAAGGTTTCATATTTCAAAAATCAAATGTTTATTAATATTTATTTATAATTTAATTAATTAGTTATATATTTTGTTAAATATATCAAGGTCACAAATCGATACAATTTGGTCACAAATCAACAATTTAATTAGTTACATATTATTTTTCAGTCACAGATCAGAATTTTTTGTATGTCACAAAAATTTAAATATTTTATAGGTTATAATTTATTCATCGGTCATAGATCACAAACATTATAAATCACTGCATACTAGATAATTACAAATTATCAAAGTATAAGTTAATTAACAATTTTTTAGATCCTACATTATTTCTTGATCACAATTCATCTTTTTCATTAATCACAAATTATTTATTGGTCACAGATTAACTAATTTAATGGTCATATTCATCCAAATAATCTGTAACAATTACCAACGCTTGTGACCGACACTTCATTGCCCCCAATAGCACTACCGTCGCCTTCATCGTGCAGAACTTCCATTACTTACAACAAATCTAACACGCTGCAGAAAAATACCACCGATGACAGGTGTCCTGAGTAGCTGCACCACCATCTAAGCATGAGGGGGCAGCGACAACGTGGTAGTGATGGCAACGGGGCAGGGCGGGGACCGTTTCTCCCGCCCCGCCTTTGACGTGGCGCAGGGCGGGGCGGGGCAGTGGGCTTGCCCTGTTTAATTTTTTATTTTTTTAATAATTCCGAATTCAATAAAATATAGATAATATTTAAGCTGACAAAGTTAATATCCAAAATAAACATTACAAATCTTAAATATAATGGTCGCTATTAGTACAAAACATTGATTATTAGGATGAACAAGGTTTTTTGTGTTTATTCCTTTGATATTGTCACAAAAGTCGTAACCCGGCACATTTTAATTTATTACAATATATAGCTTTTCAAATTTGTTCGGTCGAACATGTTAAATCTTTTTATATTTATTTTTATTAATATAATATCAATTTGACAAAGTAGTATAATGGTATATATAAATTAGTCATGTTTGATAAAACTTGTAAAATTAAGGATACTAGAAAATATGTCACATCTTTCTATTTGAAACAAGTTGAACCCTAATCTTTATTTATATATATAAAAAAAATTCACGGGGGTGAGTTCGGGGCAGGGCATCCTCGCCCCGGGACGGGGTGACCATTTAAGCCCCACGCCCCGTGACGGGGTTGGTTTTTTTGTCTAATTCGGGACGGGATAAATTGTCATCACTACAATGTGGGGATAAAGAGACAGAAAGGGAATAAGCGAGATATAGAGAGAGAAAGGAGGGGGAAATTGATTAGGTTTTGGGAAGAAAATTGGAGTATTTATATTTAGTAAAAATATTTATTTTATAAAAATATTGATTAAAATAAAATTTTTGATTTTTAAATAATGAAATATCCAACATGATTTTAGAATTTTGAATTTTTAAAGTAAGGTGTAATGTAATTTCCACTATAAAAAATGCAAATTACATTTGGTAATAATATAGATTCTAATTTTATTTTTACTAGCCACCTTTTTTTATTCTGAAAGTACATTTAGTTTTAAAGGGGAAATAAATAAATTAATAAGGCAAAATAGCATAAATTAGCTTGATTTATGAAACATCTCAAGACTAATTAATGGGCTGATTAAGGAATTAAAGAATTTCAAGAACATTAATTAGTTATAATTATACCTTCTTTAATACGAAAATTGATTCTCAGATGAATTAAATGGTGGGTGAGTACATAAGTATAATATTCCTCGTCATGAAAAATTGTTTGATTCGACCAAGTTTGATGCTAATACCCATGTAAAAAAAATGATATGTAGTAATGCTAATTTTGCGTCTAAGGTTTCAAAACTTTCAGGGTCGGCCCTGTTGATGAACTTGCTGTCATTGGTGCCTAGAAAAGTAATGATGATTGATCACTAAAATTTAGTAAATGTATAATATCTTAGCCAAATAATAAACAATAAGTAAGATATGAAACTCAAGTAATTAAACAAACACTGTGACCTTGAATCCCCTATATTCATTTATTTTAGTATCAATTTAAGATTTAAACAGCACATATTTTTGGATATGAAAATCAATATTCATAATTTGTTTCTTTTGAGTATAACTAAACTTAACTTCACATGTAATCATCATATATCTCTATAAAAGATGGGAATATGTAACAATATATTAAATTAAAAGAAGATCAAAACAGATTGTACAACGATTGTTACTATGCTTCAAATTCATATTCGTTCTCTTGAATGTCAATAGAAATCACAAGACAATTAAAATAGTGATCAATTAATTGAAAAGTTTTAAGTACCTAACATTCATTGAAAACCAAACACATGTTTTAAAGTCAAAATTTGGAATTAAATATGAAAACTTCAAAAGTAGGGTTCAACATTGTCCTGTCATCTATACAATTATCCAAGCATTGAATTGATTACAAAAAACACAGAGTTGATTCAACATCACCGGGTATGAAAATTGAAAAGAAGGAAAGAAACCTCGAAAGTCTTAAATCGTTTCAATGTCTCATTTATCCGCCTCATTTGATTCTTAGTCTTCTTCTTCAACCCAAGTTATTGATGTATGAAAGTGTATATGAAGGTTATTTTAAAAAATTTGTAACAAAGCTTCTTTAGAGCTTGAATGAATTATAAATTTTTAGTACCAAAGCTCCCTCACTTTCTCTTTTGAAAGAACAATGCATTTTGTGACATAAGAGCCTCACAGACTTGAATATAATGTGTATATCGACTCTCCACAATTCTCTTTTTATTGTTGGACGAAGGTATATGTTTATAGAACCCCCAAGAATTAGGTTAAATCCATGCCCTAATTGGTTCCCTAGAAGTGGTCGATTCAAAGAAGAAAACAAGTACGACTGGATGCAAAAGAACCATGAGATCGCACTATTATGCAACTTTGCATTCTGTCTTTATTGCAATTAAGTCCTTCATCATCCTAAAATCACTCATAATTGATGCAATGCGAGTTTCGAAAGTTTACAATTTAGTTTTCAAACTTTCCAATTATTAGATTTAAGTCTAGAAAGTTTTGAATTTATTAATGCTCTATTAATTCTTCTAATTGATCAATTACAATTAGATAATATTCAATTGTTTCAAATCAACTCCAATCATGATCCAATTTCAACTATTTCTTGCTAATAACATTCAAATTGGAGCCC